CAATTTCAGAAATTCACAATTTCAGAATTTCCAAGTGATTCTTATACCGTATGCGATAGTCACACTTATACAAAATGTCAGAAATTCACAATTTCAGAAATTCACAATTTCAGAAATCCACAATTTCCAGTTGATTCTTATACCGTATGCGATAATCACACTTATAGAAAATGCCAGAATTTCAGAACTTCAAAGTTATCCTTATACCGTGTGCGATAGTCACACTTAAACAAAATGTCAGAATTTCAGAGTTTCAAAGTTATCCTTATAGCGCATGCGATAGTCACACTTACGGAAAATGTCGGAATGTCAGAATTTCAAATAATAGTTTAGTCTGGGCCGGTTGTGACTCTTTCCTATATGCCGATGCCTTGTTTGTTAAAAAGAGTTACTTTCTAATACATCACTGCAGCGAGCATCGTAGTGTTAACTATTGACAGGTAAAAGAGCGACTTCGCAAAACAGATGGAACGAAAAATGTGGATCGTGTGTCGGAGGTTTGTAAAACTAAATTCAATGAGAATCATTTCGATCAAAAATAGATTAGAAAGTTCCTGGAGCAACGAACAAATTTACTAATCACACATCATAAGAAAGCGATATCAACTTAGAAGACATGAAACTAGTGACATTTAATGTGTAATTGTACAAATATCCAAAGCAGAACAAAAATCAATCTTTTTTGGGCTATCGATAGTTCAGATAACGTGTTACAAGGTATTAGAGGAATAAACAAGAAAAAATCCGCAAGAAATGCTCAAACTTATGATTTTTCGACAATTTATACAAGTATACCTCATAATGATTGAGAGTATGAAACGGATAGGAAAGAAAAGTTATTTGTCTTAAGTTTTTAAAAGACTTTGAGACCGTGTTTTGACTTAGAGTATCTATTTCACTCTATTATTTGTCCTTTTCATCCGACGCGATGAATTGTTCCGTACGACCAAAAAATTATGTTAAAACAAATCGTGCGACAAAAGTGGTGCGACTAAATATCTGTGCGACGAAAAGATCGGCGACTAAATATCCACGACAAAATGACTGCGACGAAAAGATCGGCGACAAAAAGATCGGCGACTAAATGACCGCGACCAATTGTCCGCGACAAAATCACCGCGATGAAAAAACCTGCGACGAATTGACCTAGCACCCTCAAAACACGGTTATATTGGCTAACACCTGGTTTGCTACATTCCAAAGTGCTTTAAATGTTCATAAGAACCAGAACAAAAGTCTCACCGTAATCAGTAGACAGACTTTTAATGAAATGATAAAATTTTTAGTCGAAAACAGCTACTTTACTCTCGGAACAATCGTGACAATGGACAGATAACTGGGATATCTATGGGTACTGACTCTGGTCCTTACCTAGCAAACTTATTTTGTACAAATATGAATTTGAATTTATGGAGAATGATCTTATTACTATCAATTCTGATGATAAATTTAACCATAATAATCAAGTCATTTATCCTGTGTAGTTAACTTTAAGTCGGGAAATCTAAATGATAAACAAACGACTTTTCTCAATTTCGAAATGAATATAATTAACGGAATAATACAAATCAAACCATATTGTAAACGTACCAAGTTCGGTTTTAACATTGCCAATTATCCGGATTTGAACGGTAATTTTCTAAAGGTAATGGGCTATGGCATGATGATAGGACAGTTACTTCGCTTATCAAACGTTTGCATGGATTATAAAACATACTTTACGGTGGTTAAGAGTATGTACATGAAGCTTCTCTTACAGGGTTAGGGCTATACATCCGAAAATTCCATTAAAGTGCTAAAACGATTTTTTAAGAAGTATGGCTCGATTTTACCATTTAAATGTCAAGAAAAACAGCTGATTAAAGATCTTATGAAATAATTTTACTCTACTTTTTAACTGTTTGCTTATTTTAACCTGCACTTCAGCATTTTTGCAACGCAAAATTTGGCCATTAACACAAAATCTCTTTTTAACAACTGTCTAGATCGACTCTCTGTTTATCTTCAGATGTTATATCATTATGTTGAATGTTCTTGTTTTCAATTGCATGTAAATATTTGACGATAAATTCCAGTTTTCAATTTAAAGTCATATCTTCAGTTTCACAACAGTTGTATCTTTCATATGTGCATTTGAATTCATTGTTTTAATGGTTTAGTACACTTCGAGACAATACCAATAGGAATCCAACATTAAAGTTTCGAGCACTTAATAAAAGAGCCTGGTGAGATCTATGTAAAGGTGCTGAGGACTTTTCAATGCACATTTCAGGACATAGTTCCACGAAACGGCATACTCATAGGCAAGTGTATAAAAATGATCTCAAAAAATAGTCTCGTAAGAACTAAAAGACTGAATTCTCGTACGTGTGATCTGTTGTACTATTTCTGAATCATGTCGAATAGGCTCTATATCGATATGTGAATACTTCTATATGTTCTAAATTTTTGTCTATGTAGATGTTCATGACAGAGTTATTTCATTCGATTTAAAAGACTTTTATATAGTACAATCGCGGCCAAAAGTCTCGCCCACTTTTCTGCTTTTATGTATCTAAATAAAAACAAGAATTATTATTTATATTTATATGTATTCTTACTCTACTGATCATACTCTAGAGCACGCATATAGCTAATCTGCATAAACAAACTTGGGAATGCAAGAGAAAATATAACGTAACAATGGGGAAGAAATTGCTTTGCACATCAAAACGTTTATTTTAATCTTTCATTTGTTTGTGTTATATTTTTAATTAAAGATGAATGTGCGATAATCACCATAAACTTTTGTGTTTACTTGATTTTGTAGATTTTTCATTGACAAACTTGCCGCATCAGACATATTATCGAATCTAAGATCAGAATTTTGCATTACCAAAGGTCCTGGATTATACGAACATCACGTTATTGTGATCTTTATTTACGATGCAATGAACAAGGTGTTGGTGTGACAATGGAATGTAGTCGTAAGAGTAATTTTTCACTATGGTGTTTTCATCTCTTATTGATATGAGAGTTTTTCCTTCTTTTTATTAGCTGGTCTTGTTTTTAATGAAAAGAANTCAGACATATTATCGAATCTAAGATCAGAATTTTGCATTACCAAAGGTCCTGGATTATACGAACATCACGTTATTGTGATCTTTATTTACGATGCAATGAACAAGGTGTTGGTGTGACAATGGAATGTAGTCGTAAGAGTAATTTTTCACTATGGTGTTTTCATCTCTTATTGATATGAGAGTTTTTCCTTCTTTTTATTAGCTGGTCTTGTTTTTAATGAAAAGAAGAAAGAATGTGATTATCAATCGGATGCAAATGGTGACTACGGTACACAATGCATAACACCAAGGACTTTTCTAAGAGCAAAACCAAAAGCTGAACAGGGTACAGTATTGTTTGAAGGTGCTGATGCTACTGGACAGTTTTCGACACGATTTGATTGTTCAAATAAAGATCAACAGAATATGTTTGCTGATTTTGATTGGTGTAATATCTACTATGTATGCATTGGATATCGCGATAATATATTTTTGTGTCCACTTGGTACACTATTTAATGATACAAAACAAGGATGCTTTGATCGTTTAAACGGGAAAAATTGTGATTGTACAAATAGTTACTATAAACCGTCGATTAAACGTCATAAACGAACACGTAGTAGCACTATAAATATGCCATTCAAATTATCAATTGGTGAAGATAGCGAAAGAGATTCGACGATGCCAGAATTCATTGATAATTAGGAGAGAACAAATTACAGAATTCCTTCGGAATGGCGTCAATTTGAATTTCATCGTCCACAACATGACTCATTATCTGCTGGAAAATATAGATTGACAATAGACGATAAAAATCAACAAGATTTAATAGGGATTGCCCTGGGCATGGTCCGAGCCCGAGAACTCGGGCTCGTTCAGGCTCGGCTCATACTTGGCGTGGGCGGGAAAAATATTTGACAATAAAGGTGGATGCTTAGTTGAGGCAAAACCGGGCCGAGCCAACTACGAGCCGAGCCTGACCGAACCCGAGCCGACTACGAGCCGAGCCTCAACGAACCCGAGCCGACTATGGGCCGAGCCTGAACGAGCCGATTTTTCCGAGCGTAAGGTCGGACTCGGACCATGCCTAGATTGCCCGTGAAAATAGATGATCAAAACCGCTTAGTTATGGAAATAATAGAATAAATGAAAATGATAATCTCTCTTCAAGCGAAGAGAATTACTTTCGGCAGCACCAATGTTGACCAGTACGATTAAACTTGTCATAGTTTTTCAATAGCTTATTTTCTGTACAAGATTCAAATTGAAAGAGAGAAAAATGTTTTATCCATTTTACAAAACATTTGTTTATGAATGATTATTCACTAATCGAAAAGTCAGTAAAACGCACTAGAAATCGATCAATGTGGAGATCTAGTAATAGAGGAAAGATGAATCAACCAATTTATTCATAAAGATTACTTTTGGCTCCAATAACTACTGATATTGAATTAAAATTAGATACGGCTACAACTAAATAAAATCAACAGACAAATAATGATAGGAAAAATCAATTGAAATAATAAAACGTAATATTCACCGTAAAATAAACTCAAATCTTCTTCTTTCTGTTTGTGAAAGTATGAACAAATTCTACCTTTTTTCTCATCAACAAGAAAAAATTTCTCCTTCTTATGTGAAACAGATCTGCGTATCAAGCTTAAAGATGATGAATTCTATTCTTTTATTTGTTTCTTTTTTATTGATTTAATCAAATAAAAGTTTTTTTAGTATCAGTTTTTTGTTTCATTTCAACACTTTATTTTTTTGTTTTATACATAAAGATTGAAAATCATTTGTGTCAGTATTCTTCCCGTGGCTGAAAATATGTTGGCTATGCTTTAATTACAGAAATACATGCTATGACATTATGAAACGCTTTATAATAAGCTAACAAATAGATTTTGTTTTCATTTTTAAAAAGTTCTGTCTAACAAGATAAGGCTATATTTTTGTTCCTTTATTTTTGTTCCACAAGAATTACAGGTGATATTCGCCAAACTAAGTAGTGCAAAATGACGTCAGTGATCCCGTCAGTAATGATCATTGTATTGTCGGATGATTTTCTAACTTATTCACCTACGTTGTTTGGTTTGCGTTGAACAAGTAAGAAAACAGTATGTTCATTATATTTCTTTTAGAAAAAATCAATTAACATTTATTATCCCCAAGCAAAAAATCATACATGAAAATATCTAGATATTTTTTCGTTGTATTGGGCAATACTACTATGAAATATCTAGGTATAGGTGTCAGTTTTATTGGGTTATCTAGATATATTGGGCATGGTATC